TTTTGTTCCACAAATATCATAAAACGTGCTCAATCTTTCACTTTGACCACCAATATTGAAACTGTTTTCATAAATCTTTCGACCCTATTTTTAGAAATTTTCGAACTGGAAGTACATTTCTAGGTCCAGAGTATTTAAAGAAATAGTTTCATCCCTATTTTTTACCCTTTTCTATATTTAAAAAAACATTTTCCGTATAATACATTCTCTTTCGAATAATAAATTTAATAATTTTCTTCCATTTTATAACAGAAACAAAACTATCGGTTTTTCAAAAATATTACAATCTAAATCATTTGATCTAATTTGGCAGAACTCCAATTTGCTCCGACTAAATGGAGGAGTCTAACTGCATAATCAGAAAATTGGGCATTAAGATCATGTTTTCCTGTAACCCAAATAATTATTTATTGCAATGTAAGTGTCCCTCTTTTTATTTGTTTGTTACATTTTATTTTGTCAGATATTATAAAGTAAAAATTAATAATACTTTTATTTTCGTTATAAGAAATTATGACATTATTTTCCTGTGAGCTGTTTTAATGTAGTGTTTAATACATCAGTAACTCCGTGGTTGGATTTTTGACAAATACAAGTTGATTTTTAAATTTTACCACTTTGAAAGTCTATACAAAAAAAGTAGTTCAAAAGAATAATAAATATTGATTCTTAAAATATAGCTTAGGTACACCCGCAATAATGCCTCATTCAGGACCAAACTAATAATTAATCTGGTTTTCTAAGCTTTACTCGCACATCAGATAATCTGATAGTATCCACAGTTTACGCAGATAATCCATAGATACATAGATAATCTGCATAATATCCATAGTTTCAAAATGATCATAATAATGGGTTCATAAAATATCCATTTTACTTTCAAGTAACTGAGATCAATCCAATCATGACTATACTAAAAATGGTTTAAACATAACTATATTTAAATTTCTATCAAATAAGAAACTCTTAAGCTATTCATAACCGCACTGTTCTGTCAGTGAATTTACTACTTGATTATAGTTCTTGCAGTAACTATTGAGGTCCCAGTAATAAGAAAATTAATATTTTTTCATATTTTCGCATTTTACCTTATCTATACAATCATTCATTAAAGATATATGTAAGCATTTCAGCTTTTATAATATGCTGGAGAATCACAGTACATACAATGTTTGCACCGAAGTTTGTAAAAACTATTGCTTGAACTGACGATTACTTAATAGTTCAACAGATTTCATTTTCATACTTATAAAAATATCTCCATCCTTACATGAACCTATATGAGTAAAACTCATTCAACTATTAACAAAATGAAGGACTAATTACAAACAAATTACAAAGAGTATTTTCTGAGATATACACTAAATTGGGAATGCTTCACTAAAACATAGCGTTGTATTAGCCTGTAGAAATTATGGATATGCATCATTTGGTTATTGCCAATATAAATGTATGTTCCTGGACTTTGGTCTTATTATATGTAAGCATACAGTTACGACTATCTGATATTTTAAATGATTGTTTAATTATATGCATTTGCTTATACTTCTGTTCTCTTGACATTAACGTAATACTCTAATAAAATGAAAGTATGAAAAAACAGACAAGAAATATCTATTAATCACTGGAAATAAATATGACTACTCCCAGTGATAGGCAATTAAGAATCCCGTAGAATTCCATCTAAATTCGTGTGCTCTTTTTCTTTTGATTCTAAGAACCTTTTGATCTAGAGATTTTCAGTACACTGCTGTATGTTTTATCAATACATGGGAGTATGTCCTTTTATACTTCTTGATAATAGTTAAGGGACAATTGTCTTTTGGTCCATCACGTTTTGCAGTAAAGTCGCATGAATATCAGTGTACAAAGTACTGCTATGTAAATTTATCATATATGCAAAAAAAAATGGGGGTATGAGTTCTTCGATTCAAAATAAACTACTCTGTAGTTCAAAAGAGGGAAATCTCGTTAACATTTTTGGAGGTTATACCATATATTTCAATAAGGAATAGTTTTATTTGCAACGACCATTAGTTGCAGAATACACAACTTGACTGAGTACGATTGTGAACGAGCAGACTGACACTTCGGATGAATGAAGTTTCACCATCCATAGATGTTTCAAGCAACATCTTTTGGTTAATGTAGGGAGACCTCTAAATCCAGAGGTGTAGCTCTACATATGCATGGGAGACTTCGGCGAAGGAATGCAATAGTAAAACAAGATCAGAATGTTTCCTCTTTTTAAACTTATGCAAAAGTGATACAGAATGAAAAGAAATAGAAACAATACATTTACCTAAGTTTCTGCAGGTTTTGAAGGCGTTCTAGATACCTGGCATATCCTGTCGACTGAATTTCACTAAGTTAAATGCACGAATTCCAGTCAAGTATGTTTCACTAATACTGCACCACTGTTAAACCAAGCTTTAAGAGTTTAAGGAGCACTGCCATGGGGGCCCATTGGTAATAATGAACAGAGTGATGCTTTAAGAGAAATCCCGATTCACTAATAACACTGAGGTTATAAAATATTATAAAGAGACTTGTAAGGAGAATAGAAATTTTTGCAAACAATTGTTGTAAAGATAACAGAAAACACATTTCCAACAACGATGCATGCAAAAATTTTGGTATGTAATGATCTGGAGATTTATAATTAATGATACATGAAATCATTCAACAGCTTTGTATCAGATTCCATGGTGGCAGAAAGATATTTTATAGAGATGCTTATGCACCCTACCTGATGTTTATGTGAAGCAATAATCCTAAATTTTCGGTAGAGTACTAGATGGTACTAGACACAGAACAGATGGTGTGACTACTAGAGAGTGAGATACAGGGACTAGACAAAACTATGAAATACCGAAATAAAAGCATATTACTATGACTAATACGGCGTAGGAAAATCTTTAGCATTCAAAAAAGCTTTCAGGCTTCTCGGAATGGATAGAGATCTTGCATGCTTTGCAAGGGAATATTGAACCATTCTTCCTATAAAACGTTGGCAAGTTCAGTTAATGATTATGGCGTTGGATAGCGCTCATGTAGATTTCTCTCCAAAGTAGCCCACAAAGGCTCAATAATATTAATATTCGATGACTGTGGTGGCCATGATAGATGTGCCAGTTCTAGATGATGAGAGCTGAGTGAACAAGAGCTCTGTCCTATTGGAATACGACATTATAGCATTGAGGAACAAAATTTTGACCATAGGATGGCTGTGATCAGCCAAAATAGTCACATAATCCTTGGCAGTAATGTGATTTTGAACAGTTTTGATGGGTTCTAAGGAATACCACGATATGACTGCCCAAGCCAAGGTCGAACCCCCGCCATGTTGCAAAGTATTAAGGATGTTGTACAGCTGGCATTAGTGAGCAAACACGTCAGCGTTACCAACATCTTTTGAAAGAATAAATATTTCAGTTCAAAAACCTATTTTAAGAGATGTTTCTCTATTTTTGTCCAACCCCTGTGTCCAACTTCTGTTTATCACTTGATTTTTATTTCCCTTAAATTTTGTATTATTTCCTTTACTTTTTTGTGAGATTAAAAATGTTTGAAAAGAGGTAAGTTCGAATAGTTTTGAATATGACGTACCAGTTGTCACTGAACCTATATCTCACGTTTATTTCCATTTCTCTCTTCCGTTCCTCTGGACTCCAAGACAACATTCCTTGATTTTCAATTAACAAACTTCAGTTTGACGATAAATTATAGCTTGATAATCGACAGTTTTAAAATGCAGTTATTTTATTTAGGTATTTTATTCTCAAATTTAGATATACTACAAATTTTTTCACAAATGTAGGATCGTTATGTATCAAATCAAAACATTTTCATGAAATTTCGTCTTTGTTTATGTTTTATTGACCCCTCTTATGGTTAATGTAAGCATTAATTCATTCTTTGTAACAAAATCAAAAGAATATGTAATTAAATTGTAAATTAATTAAATTAATAATATTGATATAATAATCTCAAAGCACAGAGACTTAAATCCTATGCATACCCTTCTCTAACTCTCAAAACACAATTCTTTCTACCCGTTTTTGTTCTTTTTGGTTCCATACTTTAACTTGCTTTGATCTTGCTTTCTGCGAGCATTTTCTAATTTACTTAAGACACATCGGCATTTTATCTTGCTTCCAATCAATCATTCGATTGCTAATAAATCACGCAACAAAAGTCTAGCGTAGTAGGATATTTGATATCCTCTTTATCAACCAACTATTTTTGCATTCAGTATGTGTCAATAGAAAGTAAATTATATATTTAGAAGAACTCGCTCATGTTTTTAAATGTATAAGTTTCTCCTCTAATTAGTTGTTTGTAGGAATCCTTAGATACTAAATTTAATATTATCAATATTGTATTATTAATTACTATATTAGGCATACTTCTAGTGTGTTGCCAGTTCCATAAGTAATTAGTTTACTTATTTTTTAACCAAGAAATGTTTCAACTTAAAAATATCAACTCCTGCGTTAAAAGTAACGATATTTACTAACGTAATTAAAAATTTTCGATTTATTAATGAATTCCTTATTTGACGCACACTTCTATTTTAATCATAAAATATATTTAATTTCTTACATAAAAAAATTTCTAATATCAATCAGAAGTGATGGTTATATTAAAACAATATAAAATTTCAAATAATTACTTCTTCACATAACTCAAGGTTCTCCAATAAAATTCATTATACCTGGAGAAAAGTCAAATATTTGTTTAGAATAAGAGGAACTATGTATTTGTTGAAAAAATACGCTTAGACTACAGTATGTTCGATATTAAGCTTCAGAAAATGGATTCACTTTCTCAAGTAAATATTTTAATTGCTTTCGTTTGAAAGCAATAAAATGCCTGCTTTAAAATTATCTTTTTAAATATATATATTAAATACTAGAGGAGTTTTCAATTCATTTTGTTGAAAAAATATAATTCCATGAGTTGAAATCTTAAATGTTTCAGAATATGTTTGTACTTACTTATTCAGGATAACTAATGTGGAGGTTGCACTCTTAGTTTGCATAAAGTAATATAGAAAATATATCATTCGAACAAGTAGATCATCTGAAACAATGCTTGTTCAATTCAATTGAGATAGCTAAGGCTTTTCTATAAACAATATGAAATACTTAGTATTGTTAATATTTCTGATTAGCATTGTTAATGAAAATTCCGTCAGTAAGAACTCAGCATTTCTAAAAGAAGTTAAAATTATTATAATATAGTATATCATAATACATAATAGCTAACACTGCCAGAGTCAAATCTGGGAACATTTCTATGCATGATCGTTAGAACGTTATGGCTATTTTCCGTTTCGATACTGAAGATTTCGCTTTTTGGATTTCCAGGAAATGTCGTCATTATTCTACTTCGTAATTACTTGCACAGACTTAGATGGAATGATGGGTTTGCAGGCGTGACAGTTTATTCAACATAGTTTTATTTCGTAATAAAGCAGTCCTTGAGGAGCAGAAGTACGTTTACATTATCATCATTATCGGTGCGCTATGCACCCTTATAATTTTGTAAAGCTGTTTATGACTATAAAATATAAATATATATAATGGCCAAAGCAGAGAGATGAGAAGCGATGCACGTTCGCAGCAGCAAGCGAAGTGGGGAAAAGGAGAACGCACCAGGAAAGCGCGAGACGTATACCAAAATGTTTCTTTAAACTGACTGGACGAGAGCCGTCTGCAGTGCAGCACGATTACATAAGAAAGCATGAAATGGATTAATATGGAAAGGCGCAGTCCAGAAAGTTATTATAAACAACGTTGTAATCAATTTCTACTTTTAGAACAGAAAGGGAAGATAGCCAAATTAAAATGAGAAATAAAAACGACTGTTGTCAATGCTAATGATTTTCTTTCTAAAAATGATTATTGCCAAATTAAAGCTAATAATTTCTTTCATATTTTATATCTTGCACACATATATATATTGATGAAACAACTGATGTCATGCTATTGAAACATATAAAGAGGTCATGAATAATTTTTAAACTACGCTGCTGGCAATTAAAAGTGAAGACCTCAAAGGGACAAAATCTACTAAAGCCTTATTTTTGCACAGTTCACAGAGTTTATTTTAGTATTAAAGTGAAATAATTTCAACTACAGTTCAGTGCACTTGCGGAAATATAAAGAAATCAGTAGCTCGTGCTGCTTTCATGGGTGACAATAACTGCTGTTATGCTGACAGACATACAGAAGAAGTAACCGTTGGATACGGCTAAGGGATATTTCAGTGCATTCTGTTTCGACGTGTTGCAGAGATTCTTCCACTATAACATGATAGTCATTAATACTCCAGTAGTTATGCGATTATGCCCCGGTAGTGCTTTATGTATAATATCAGGCGATTCTAATGTCAGAAAATAATATGCTGTTCATGTTGCTAAAAACATACTAGTGCATTAATGCATTATGAAATTATAATAGCATTATATCTTTTTTAAATTTTTTAATAACATTTTCTTTTCCTAGCCTAAATTATCGGAGGAATATACGATCTACTCGATGTAATATGCAATAATAAATGTTAATCGATAGCTATCGTTATTGATAAGAAGGATGTTAATGGATTTAAAGGCTTACCATTATTTTCTAGAATGTATGTGTTTTGGCACATTTAAATTCTGTTTTGTGCAGATATGAGCTTTACTACAAAAAACATAAATATATAACTGAGTGCTGTCAAAGGCATTCGTACTTCAGATATCATTTCCTATATAATCTTATACAAGGAAAAGTATTGTTTTATTTCTTAAAAAATAAAAAACTGTTTTATTTCGTAAAAAATAAAAAAACATCCTTTTCAAGCGAAATATCAGTTCATGGTTGTCAACATCAAGGTACTTCTATCCGATTTTAAACATAACGTTTCATGTTTAAAAAAAATAACAACATAGAGACGTATTTCCTGACTTCTCATTAATTCTGTTAAGGAATTTAAATAACTTTCAAAACATGAATTAGAATGCAATAAAAGCAGAATGTTTTACATTCTTAAAATATGTAAAATAAAAATTACTTTAACGTAACTACAAAGCAAATTTTCTCGGCTTTACTCTTTAAAACTGAGAAAATATCCTTCTGTTGGGTATCTAATTTATGCAAAAAGAGCAAAGTCAAAAATAAATCCCTCCGCATACCAACACTTGTTATTTACAACAGCCTGTTGACATACTAAACGACTTAGAGGGTTAAGAAGAGATATCCCATAATAGATCTACACATATGGGTCAGTCAGCCGCCGCAGCTGGTGTTAGAAGACCCCTGCTGTTGCATATGAATACCCGCATCAAGAACTGTCCATCAACTTGTTTTTCTTGAAATCTTAAAATGAGCGGAGGGCTTTTGTCAAGGGTCACTGGAGGTTTGGCTTAGTGGTTCATATATGTAGCCCTTGAGCAAAGAAGGAACTAATATTAATCATTGCATTTCGTGACTGTTGTTTCAAATTGAAGAGTTAAACGAGATCATTGACTTTTTGAGGCTTAGGATTGTATTAAAGAGGAAGACTGGCTACTTCACAAAAACCAAAAGTAGAAAAATTTTAACTATAAAATTACATGCACTAGATTCAGTTACTCTCATTCCTGTTTACATGGGTTACATTTAAACAATTTCAAATAAACATGTATTCGGAAGGAAAAACTTTTATTTTAATTTTAATTTAATTTAAATTTTTATTTTTATTCATTTTTATTTTAATTTTTTAATAAATTTGGATTTAACACATTTCAAAAGGTATAGTGTCTTTTCTAAAATCTCCATATGAACTGAAATATTTATATATTTCTACTCAAGAAAACATGATGAATTAATAGAATGCAATAAAAGCAGAATGTTTTACATTCTTAAAATATGTAAAATAAAAATTACTTTAACGTAACTACAAAGCAAATTTTCTCGGCTTTACTCTTTAAAACTGAGAAAATATCCTTCTGTTGGGTATCTAATTTTAATTTGAAAGATTATTCATAAAACAATTTCAAATTGACCATAAATGCTATAAAATTGTTTAGTTAGTTCGCAAATCTACACTCTTGTACGAAATTAAAGGATAATTTAAGCAACAATACTTAATACCCAATTAACTATACAAAATTCTATGAAAATTTATTGAAAAGTGTATTTATTGTAAAATACTAAAATTGAAAACATTTATTTGAGCCTCTGCTAACTCACAGAATATATGAACATGAAGAAAGCAATATAAACGAGTAATATAATTCAATGTAAATTGCACTTCTCAGTAAGTATATGAAAAAAATAAATCATTACATAATACTAAATATGTCCCTTAAACATCATTAAGACTATGGACTCTTGAAAAATTGCAATCGCACATCTTCATATGACTAAATTATTCTACACATCATCATCTCAAAGATATAAATATAACTTCGTATCGCTACAAACGTCAATCAACAAGAACGTTAACGCAAATAATGCAAATTAGCGCAAATTGTCCAAGGCTTGCTACCACATCTGTAGAATACGGCTTCGCTTTAGCAAAAGAATAAGAAATATTACTACTTAAAATATGCAAAAACGTAACCTGCATACAAGGGGGATTAGTATTTTACATACGTTCTCTACATTTTTCTTTCAATAGATAGGGTTTATGATGTCGTCGTCTATATTACCAATGAACCACAATTTACTGAACGCGAATTCGGTTTACTTGATATATAAAATTTCAGTTTAAATAAAAATTTTCTCAAGGTACTTTTATAAGAATAGAATCTAAAATATACAACTTTTTATTTAATATTTGTAGGAAACCTAATTTTCGTGTCAGTTGTTTGCTTGTATGAGCAAGAATACAGATATATGAATGCATTATTCTGTTTACTTTCACCAATGGTTCTGTAATATCCTCAAATAGGACATTTTAGGGTTTGTAACGTTTCCTTAAGTTACGCCTAATGCACGATAATTCTCGAGTTTATCGATCCGTGTTGGTGGATTAATAGCTTGAATCTGCAGATATCATTCAACTAGATTAGCCAGGATACATTTTTAAACTCAAACTCAATGAACATGTTTGGAATGTCTTATGGCACCGATCTGTTTCACACCAACACTTTCCTAAGATTCTCTAGAAGCTAAATTTGTATCTTAGCGGAAAAGAAAATCTGAAAAACTTAGTTTAATACCTACTTAATTGATTTCAAAGATCCTACGAAGCCTGAATATCAGTTCATTGTAACTACACACTATTCTAACTTGTTCTGTTCAGGATAATGTAGATACCGTAATTTGTCTTTTTGTTATGGACACATTTTCTCTGAAACGTTTAGTATCATACTCTACGTAATGTAAACGGCACTCCATGTCTCTTTAAATTTTATGAAAGCTAAAGAAGACTTTCTTTCACACATCAATTTAACATAATTTTCGTGTCAGTGTTTTAAATAATTTCGTGTTTTAAATTTAATTTCTTTCACACATCAATTTAACACAGACAATTTAACATAATTTTCGTGTCAGTGTTTTAAATAATTTCGTGTTTTAAATTTAATTTCTTTCACACATCAATTTAACACAGACAATTTAACATTTAACATGTAATGTTAAATTGTCTGCGCTAACCTTTAATTTTGAACTTTCAGTGTATGCATGCTAAAATTATGCAGTTTTGCAATATATGTGTGTGTGTGTGTGTGCGTGTGTAATAAGACTGTGCCATTAATGTAATATAACTGCTCCATTATTGTAATAAGACTGCGGTATTATTGTAATGAGATGACTTGGTGGAAAGTAAGTTGCAACGGACTGGTGATGGTTCTTGGCATTATAACTTGAAGAGATTTTTATTGATTGAAAATTGCGTCGTAGCAAGCTGGCACTCGAAGAACATACGTAACGATAAATTCCACACATAATTTTATTCCTTGATAATGCATATCATTGATATGTGTGCTTTAAGCACCCCCAATTTTATATAGATTACAGATTAGATCTTCTTAAAGGACGAAATTAGAAAAATAAACTCTTCGTGGCTAGCGGTAAGGCAACGCAAGCGTCTAGAAGCAGAAGTGAAGAGCGAAGGAGAAGGAGCTGCGACGCAGTTAATCTTTTATACCGAATTCCATTTCAGATCATATGACAGATTAATATCCAGATTTCATAGAGAAGTACACAATGCAGAACTGCAGGAAGATTTTTTAACTAGAAAATTATTGCTCTGTTATTTTTAGAACGAAGACGGGAGTTAAAGGGCTATTACTCATTTATTATTTGAAAGATTTTGAAAGGTAGATATTTTATATTATATATATATATTTAGGTATATCTTAGCATTGCTTTTCCAGAAATACACACACGCACACACACATAGGAAAAAAACAGGTCTGAACACACAAAATCTCTGATTTATCTGAATGGTCACAGCCCATTCAAAGTGATACTATTACCCCTTTTATTTCCAAATAAAATTTTCTAAGCTACCCATTTTAGCATTCAATTTCGAGATTCTGTTATATAATTTATTTTTCACTTTAGGTCTCTTGATAATATGAACACTCTTCATAATAAAGTTAAGCATTTCAAACTCTTCATGGTTTAAATAAATGTTCCATGCCTT